AATGAAACTAGTGAAATAAAAAGCAGGAGACATATTGAAGAGCTATGTATTCTACTACACTGTAATTTTTACCTTTGCTATCAAACACTTCAAGTCTCTGGATGCTAATGTATCAAGAGCTGGATTTGGTTTGGGTTGGAAAACAAATTGTGACTTTTAAAATAAATAGTTCAGACAGTGTAATGCCTTTGTATTGCCAAAATCTGTTAATAAATCAGACTTCTTATCCTCAAATGTGGACATTAACTCTACAAATATAAATGAATGTATATCACTTACTTAGATGGATAACCAGGTTCTATGAGCTGTCAGTTCTAAAATGATAACAGAGAAAAGCTTTGTTTCAGTATTTATAATTCAGTTCAACAAGTAATTTTTTTTCTCATCTCTCTTTTAAAGTCTTGTGAAAATGCCATTGTGTGCTGGAAACCTGGCAAAATGGAAGATGATATAGACAAAATTAAGCCCAGTGAGTCTAATGTGACTATTCTTGGGCGATTTGATTACAGCCAGTGTGACATTTGGTACATGAGATTTTCCATGGATTTCTGGCAAAAGGTAGCAACATTTTTACATTTTGAGATTATTTTACTTAAAGCCTTGGTAATTTTAGTTTTCTCTGTTATGCGTCTGTAGTTTTGAGACTCTATCTTGATGGTTTGTATTAATTGTTTGGGCCTTTGATATTAGGCTCTGAACACCACCTGCAATGCTTAAAAATGAAATTGACAGGTGTCAGGAGTGGTAGTTAGGTGTTTATTTTCTACAACATCTGTTACTAAAATTTAATGTTTTGGTGATTAAAATTAAGGTTTTTATGTGTCTTTACCTCAGAAAAACTTAACAAACAAACATGGAAGTTAGAAACAAAATAGTAGTTACCTAAATTTTTGAAGAAATTTGGTATTAGGTTTTTGTTGGTAATGAGTTATCTGAGTATTTATATGAACATTTTTGGAAGATCTTTCTATAGCTTTAGCTAGTTTTTTTAAAAATATATTTTTATTTCAGAGAGGAAGGGAGAAGGAGATAGAGATAGAAACATCAATGATGAGAGAGAATCATCAGTTGGCTGCTTCCTGCATGCCCCCTACTGGGGATTGTGTCCGAAACCCCCAGGCATGTGCCCTTGACCAGAATTAAACGCAGGACCCTTCAGTCCCCAGGCTGACGCTCTATCCACTGAGCCAAACCAGCCAGGGCTGCTACAGTTCTTTAAGACACAATAAAGAGTACTGTTATTATAGTGTAAATTGTAAAGCTCGTCATAAATTTGCAACGTGCCTTCTTTCTTACTCGAGACACCTCTGTGAAGTATTAGTTGCTGTTATCCCCATTTACAAATCAGAAATATAAGATGCAAAGAAGTAATCAAGAGCATAACCAGAGGATGGAGCTGAGGTTTTCCCAAAATAAGAAAGCTCTCTTAGGATTGCTTGAAATCTTTAAAGCTTATTTTAATAATTTGGTGGGGTTTTTTTTTAATATATTTATACAGATGCTTGCATTGGGCAATCAGGTTGGCAAACTTTATGTTTGGGATTTAGAAGTAGAAGATCCTCATAAAGCCAAGTAAGTATTTAGAAATTCCTGCCTTCATATTCTTTTTTTTCTTGTTTCCAAATACTTCATAATTTGAAAGAACAGATCAGTGCACAAATAAAAGTACCATTAGGCAGATCTTATGCAAGCTGTAATAGAAATAAAAACCAAGAACTCAAGCGATTAACTGTAGCTATTAGAGAACGTATACTATCATGCCCTCACTCTTTTTTACCTTCCATATCTTGTCTTTTGCTACACCAAATATAGAGGAAGTAACTTATACTTACAATGCCATCTTTAAATCATTTGTAATATTTGCATGTCTTAGAGTACTTTAAAATCTTTTTTATTTTAATGATTGTTTTTCATAAGTACCTGATAACTTATTTTTTTCATATAAGTTATATGGTGCCTATTGAATTTAAAATATACCCAGGTATTTTAAAATTTGAGATTGAGCTCTTAGTTAAGTATGTTCTGTTTTCAGATGCCTTCTGTATGCGTTGGGACAGCTAATCATTTTCTACTTTATTGTTTTAAGTTAGATATTGGCAACATTATGTATGTATGGTATTTTAACCTGTTGTCATGTTTTCTCCTTAGATGTACAACACTGACTCATCAAAAATGTGCTACTGCTATTCGACAAACCAGTTTTAGCAGGGATAGCAGCATTCTCATAGCTGTTTGTGATGATGCCAGTATTTGGCGATGGGACCGACTTCGATGAAATACTGTTCCTAATCAAATTAGAGTGTGTTTTCTGTGTATAGTAGAATTAATGTATCTTGCTAGTAAAGGCACATAGAGCATTTAGAGTTGTCTTTCAGCATTCAATCAGGCTGAGCTGAATGTAGTGATGTTTACATTGTTTACACTCTTTGTACTGTCTCCTGCTCAGACTCTACTGCTTTTAATAAAAATTTATTTTTATAAAACCACGTGTTATTTTAGTTTATTTTTATTGTGATGAAAAGAAATGTTGAAAGTAATAAAATTATGCCTTTTCTTTTTGTAATGATCAATTTCTTGTAGTTCACTTAACTGGAGTAGGCTATATAATGTAATAGTAAGTAATTATGTTTAAAATTTTAGAGTTGTAACAGTAATGTTCTAATAACCTATCCTTACAGTTAAAAAATATTGCCATTCAATTTACAACTTGGTCATTAGTTATAGTGGAAATATCATTAGAGCAAGGGAGGGGAGGGTATAGAAGCTTAGGTGTAGTGAGTTGAAAAAATGGAAGAAATGGGGAGTATGTTTGCATAGTGAGCTTCTATCCCCCTTGCTATGTCCCTGATTCTATTATAATCACCAGTTCATTCTGTTCATCAGATTACTTATTCACTTGATTCTTAGATTCACTTGTTGATAGATGCATATTTGTTGTTCATAATTTGTATCTTTACCTTCTCTTTTTCCTCCTCTTCTTAAAGGATACCTTTCAGCATTTCATATAATACTGATTTACTGGTGATGAACTCCTTTAGCTTTTTCTTATCTGTGAAGCTCTTTATCTGGCCTTCACTTCTGAATGATAGCTTTGCTGGATAAAGTAATCTTGGTTGTAGGTTCTTGGTATTCATCACTTTGAATATTTCTTGCCATTCCCTTCTGGCCTGCAAAGTTTCTGTTGAGAAATCAGCTGACAGTCGTATGGGGA